CTGCTCTCTAACTTAAACATTCTCCATTGTTTTTTCTTTGATTTATTGCTTATATTTATTGTGTTTCATTGATTGTTTTTCCTCATTTATTACCCATCATTGATCATAAAGACCCATCATTGAGGCCCTTGGAACTGTTAGTCCTTTATCAATCATCCCCAGTCAAGCTCATTAGCTCAGCCTCGAGGCCCAACTTAGGCCAGTCCGAGACCCCGATTCGCAGCCGTTCGGTTTGAATAACAACACTGTCTCTCACCCTTACTTTACTTTCCTAGCTCACACTTAGCATCTATCGCCTAACAACTAGTATTAAAATAAATCACGCATTTTTAGAACCACAAAATCAAATATAATTGTAATTACCATTTTCAAGGTAAACAGTTTGGCGCCCACCGTGGGGCTAAAAATAATAGTGATTGTTTTAGTGCTGGTTTACTGAAAAACGCAAGTTATTCTTCATACTTTTTCTTGTCCAAGAATCTTTGATTTCAGGTCAAAATGTCTAACTCAGTGAATGCACATGAAAACAACGGTCCTAAGGATCATGGAGAGAATGGTGTAGTTGTTCCAGGCGTCGGTGTACCACTGTGAAACCCTGAGGAAGCACCAGAACCAATCCCCGTAGATGTGGGCTCACGCAACGCCCAACACGTCGATATAAGCTCCCACACTAACGAGAGTATACGCCAAGAAAACCAACAAGAAGCTCAGAGAACCCCAGCTCGAGAGGAACGAAAGGTTAGCCTTCACGTCATTTTTGAGAGGTTGCAGGCACAACAGCTGGCGATTGCTCAACTGCAAAGCCACCAAAAAACTCCAAGCACAGCAGCACCAGAAATGGCTCCTCGACCCGAACAGGTACCGGAAAGATCGAGAAACAACGGGTCAGCAGCCAACCCCACCATTATGAAGATGCTCGAGGACCTCACAAAGAGGATTGAATCGGGCGAAAAGAAGATAGAAGTTAATGACAAAAAGGTGGAGACCAACAATTCAAGGGTCGATCAGATCCCTGGTGCACCCCCAGTTCTGAAGGGTGTAGATTCAAAGAAATTCGTACAAAAGCCATTCCCATCGAGTGCTGCTCCAAAGCCCATCCCGAAGAAATTCAGAATGCCCGATCTCCCGAAGTACAACGGAACCTCGGACCCCAACGAGCTGCTTACACGTGTGCTGTAAAGGGAAATGACCTGAGGGACGACGAAATTGAATCTATCTTGTTAAAAAAAATTGGAGAAACACTTTGAAAAGGGGCCATGATGTGGTATCACAATCTATCCCTGAATTCGATAGAATCATTTGCCATGCTGGCAGATTCTTTTATAAAGGCACATGTCGGTGCCATCAAGGTTGCTACAAGGAAATCCGACGTCTTCAAAATCAAACAGAGAGAAAACGAGATGCCACGGGAGTTTGTATCTCGCTTTCAAATGGAGAAAATGGAATTACCACCAGTCTCCGATGACTGGCCAGTGCAGGCCTTCACCCAAGGTTTGAACGAACGAAGCTCGATAGCTTCGAAGCAGCTAAAGTAGAACTTGGTTGAATATCCCGCCGTGACTTGGGCGGATGTTCACAACCGATATCAATCAAAGATTAGGGTCGAGGATGACCAACTAGGAGCCCCCTCGGGCTCAGTATATCCTAGCAGGCTCCTGGCAAAGGAACCAAGGCCAAACAAGGAAAGGTACCAACCGTACACTAAAGATCGAAGAAACGCCCCAAGGCGTAACATACCCCGAAACGACCGAAGGGTAGATCGAGGTCAGAATCCTCGAGGACTCATGAGCAGAGCAAGATTCGACAGACACGCAAGACCGACGGAGGCACCCCGATTATCTGAGTACAACTTCAACATTGATGTTTCGGACATCGTATCAGCCATATGTAAAATCAAAGACACCAGGTGGCCAAAACCCATACTATCAGGTCCATCGCAAAGGAACCCTAACCTGGTGTGCGAATTTCACGGCAAACATGGTCATAGGACCGAAGATTACAGACAACTCCGAGAAGAAGTAGCCTGACTAATCAACAAAGGGCACCTCCGAGAGTTCCTTAGCGACCGAGCCAAAAATCAATTTTGGGAAAGAGAGGCGAACAGGAAAAATGAAACAGAAGAGCCACAACATGTCATCCACATGATCGTTGGAGGAATCGATATCCCACAGGAACCCATTATCAAACGAAAGAAAATATCCATCACCAGGGAAAAGTGAAATCGAGGTTACATACCCGAGGACGCTCTCACATTCAGCGAAGAGGACATCGAGGCCCTGTCTCAGTCTTATAACGACGCATTGGTAATTTCTTTTCTTGTGAATACATTTCAAATCAAACGTGTTCTTGTGGATCCAAGTAGCTCGGCCAACATTATCAAGTCGAGGATGGTGGAGCAGCTCGGACTGCTCGACCAGATCGTGCCCTCCTCTCGAGTCCTCAACGAATTCAACATGGCGAGCGAGACAACGAAAGGGAGATCACCCTCCCGGTCAACATGGCCAGCACAACCCAAAATGTCAAGTTTCATGTCATCGAAGGAGACATGAGGTACAACGCCTTGCTCGGAAGGCCATGGATACACTGCATGAGAGCAGCACCATCAACCCTTCATCAAATTATGAAGTTTCCAACAAAGGACGGAATAAAAAACTGTATACGGGGAGCAACATGCAGCAAAAGAGATGTTCGCAGTGCACGATGTGGCACCGGCATCGACACCTTCAACATCGAAGGAGCCAAAGGATAAACAAATAGCGAAGTAGCAATCACAAGCTACATTCTCGGCTACACCCGAGTGAATGAGCAAAGGACCGTACCGCGTCCCCGGAGCGAGCAGTTGAAGCATATCGAGGCTCGAAGCACCATCACTACTAAGGTATAACCGTCTCCCCTTTTATTTACGTCTTACACTAACCTGTGTGCAGGTGTCCGGTTAGAAAAATCAAAGCACCTTCCAGCTTGAAGACCTTAGGTTTTAAAGCATGCGTTGCACTCTTTTCCTTCGATCGGATTTTATCCCAAGAAGGGTTCAACCGGCAAGGTTTTTAACGAGGCAACATCTATATGCTACCTAAGGAGAACTAAAACAAATATTCAAGGCTTCTCTTCAATCAACCTCGAATAATGGGGGGGCATCCCCCCGGGAGATCACCTCCCCAGAGAAATCAAGACGAGCCAAAGAAGGTCTCGATAGGAAAATGATGTATCGGGCCAAACGGACAAATAAACTATGTCCGCATAGAAAAATCAAACCCTCAACGACGAAAACATGTATACTCGTACCAAGTAATCAAAGGAGTATCTTTTACCATAAAAATGCCTCGCGTTATGTATACTCATACCAAGTAATCAAAGGAGTATCTTGTACCATCAAAACGCTTTGCACTGCAAAGAAGTTTGCTATTTTTACAAGAAACGGCCCCAGGGCCAGAAATTTCTCGAACACTCGGGAACTGTCATCAAACACTCAAAATCGTAAGACCTCCGGGCTGGAAACTTCGAGCTCATAAGCCCTCAATGAGGCAACATCAAGTTCACAAAGAACGGCTCCAGAGCCAAAAGCTTTCGATGTCTCGGGGACTGTCACTGACTGTCACCCCATCAAGTTATCAAAAACTCGAGGCCATAAGACCCCAAGCGGGAAACCTCGAGCCCGAAAGCCCTCCATGTGGTAATGCTAGAAAATATAAGACCTCCATAAGGAAATACCAAATCTGTAAGACCTCAAGCAAGGCATGAATTATACTTGTGCCAAGTAACCAAAGAATCTGTAAGAACCTAAGTAAGGCATGTTCAAATTTATAAGACCTTACAAAGGACATAATCCCGATCTTAAAGTCAAGGCTATATATTCGAACTTGTAAGACCCCTAAAAAGGCATACCCTCGATATAAACACCGAGGCTACCTCACTTGGGGACTAAAAGGCTACGACTAAACACAATGACTACGGTCATAAGGCTCCGACCAAACTAACGCGACTCTGGGATGCCCGACCGTCGCCATAAAATCATAGGCCTTCAATTACTTCGAAAATACTTCGAAAAGAACCGGTTAATCAGGCTACTCTCAGCATAAGCATAAGAGCTTCAATTATGTCAGCCCCAAACAATGAAAAGGCTTCGAAACAATTCAGTCATCGAGCGAAACCTCCCGAGGTGCTCATTTATCGTCACATAACGGCTCACAATCGAGATTCTTATCGAACCATCGAAGAGTCGGACGAACACAAAAACTTCAAAAAAGTCTTTGATGAGGGAAAAATAAAGCCTATATTAGAGGTTGTACCGACCCAACGCGTAAGAGCCTAAGTGCCAGCCTATATTAGAGGTCGTACCGACCCAACGTGTAAGATCCTAAGCTCCAGCCTATATTAGAGGTCGTACCGACCCAACGCGTAAGAGCCTAAGAGCCACCTTAAAATTCAAAAACTTAAGGGTCAATGAGCTCGAGTCAAAACCCGACTCGAAGACTGATCCCGAAACGGTTAACTAAAAAGCACCTAAGGGCAAATGCGTAAGAGCCTACGGGCCAGCCCAACAAGCCCTAGGGCCGATTTGTAAACCTAAGGGTTTTTCCTCGAAGTCCAATTCATCTGGCTAATCATTGACAAACGTCAAAATTCAAAACAAAAGAAAGACATACACAAGCAACGGTAAATTCATGAAAGGGGAAAACCGAAAGGCTTCTTTTTATATGTATATGTGAAATAATACAAGGCTCCATTTACAATTTCTAAGAGCATTGTATGCGGAATCAGAAAGGAAAAGCCTAGTCTACTTTCCCCTCAGGGACTACGGCTTCATCGGCCTCTTCCTCATTATCTTCGACATCGTACACGAGGAACTTGGCGTCGTATTCATCCGCCTTGGCCTGCTCTATCTCTTCCGAGAGATCAAAGCCCCTAGCGTGGATCTCCTCAAGGGTTTCCCTCCGAGATCTGCACCGGGCATATTCATTTCTTCTACTCTCCCGATCAGAAGCCCCTCTCAACTCAGCTTAAGCGTCGGCAGCTTCTTTTAAATAGACAGCCACTTTCTTATCAGCCTTAGCTCGAATCTCTTCAGCTTCAGCCCAGGCGTCCACGACCTCGACCTTCATCTTCAAAAGGTCAGACTCGAGCCTTAAAATCCTACTCGTCTAGGCTGAGCTGTTCTCACGAGCATTCCGGAGTTGCACCTCGAGGGCAGAAGCCTTGGCCAAAGCATTCTTCTTGCCCGCAACTTGGGCATATATCTGAGCCTTTAGCTCATTACACTCATACTTGGCCTGACTAGCTCTGCCCCAAAGGCGTTCCAGGTCCTTCGTCTTTCTCTGAAACTGAAGTATCAAAATATTAATCTCTGAAGATAGAAGAAGAAGCATGCATGCCCTCGAAATGAAGGTTACCTGTCTCTCGAGGCAACCTTTGTAGTTCTGGCTCCGATTCATCTCGTATCGAAGGTGTATCAACTCCCTTGCCCTTTTATCGCAAAGAAGCCTGAGGGATTTCTCCCCGTCCAAAGCTTTCCGCAACCTGGCTTCGCAGCGGAGCAGCTTGGACTTGAGCTTGTCAAAGGCCTATGAAAAAGAAGCTCAGTAACAATATGAAAATGCAAAGCTGAAAAACCAGCAAAGTCAACCAAAACTCACCACAGAACAGAGCCGCTGGGCCTCCTCAAAAGTTGAGCGTACATCTAATGGCCTGGTCTCATCAGCCCCAATTGAACCGCTCTCGGTGGGGATATGATCGCTCGAAACCCCGCTTGATTTAGGTGGCCCCTAGCCTGGAACATCCCTCTAAGTACCTTCGACGGGAGAAGAAGATGGAGGCAGAAAATCTGTATCCCTCAAAGTGCCTTCGACGGGAAAAGAAGATAGCGGCGAAAGATACTTGTCCCTGGAAGTACCTTCGACCAGGGAAGCAAATAGTGGCAAAAAAGGAGCCACTCCCCCGAGGCTGGAAACCTCGGGTATTGTATGCTCGGCTGCCCCGAGAGATCTCTTGGCTCAAGTCGTCGATGTGTGGCCGCTCCCTTCTGTTGCACCAATGTTCGCACGACGGCCGATAGGTACATAGTCTACCTCAACGGTTGCATCTCCTTTACACCTCCAAACAGACCCTGCCTCACAATAAATCTCCTCGCCCACCGAGGACTCCTTACGCTTGTTATCATTCTTCGGCCCCGAAGCCGATGATCCTCCCTCCTCTCCGAGAGGGCATGGTCTCATCTCGGAAAATTCTCCAATGCCTGCAGTAATGAAGTTAGGAAACACAAAGGGAAATATTCCTTAAAGAAAAGAATCATACGGTACTCACCGTGGTGTTTTGCCTCCCATCTACCCTTCGACAGGTCTCGCCACTTACGCTCATCGTAGGTCGAGCAAGCTGCCAGTTTCCGAGTCCAATCCGCCAGATCTGGGACCTCGTATGGCAACCACAGGATTGCTGCGGAAAGGGAAAGAAAACCCTTTACGGAGTCTGCCTCCACTATGAACAAAATGATAAAAGCACGAGTGTACCTGTTACGTGTGAAATTCCATTACTCAAGGAATGGAAGGAACTCTATGGAGATAATGTCAACAGTACGCACTCGGACAAATCGACTCATCCACCCTCGGTCCCCGTCTTCTTCATTACTAATAACAAAGGGCCAGGTGGATCGACGTCGTAGAGTAATCAGGCCTCGGTAATGCAAGGGCCGGTACAATCTAATAAGATGGCTGAGGGTGAACTCGGGCCCCAATTTCTCTGCAAAGAACCTTATCATCAACACTATCCTCCAAAACGACGGGTGAACCTGTGCCAAGGTAACCCGATATCTTCTACAAAACTCGAGCACGACTCTATCGAGAGGGCCCAATGAAAAGGGGTACGTGTATACGTTCAAAAACCCCTCTACATGAGCCATGATATTCTCTTCTAGGGAAGGTACCTGCACTAGCACCTTTTCTCCCCATCCGCAGTCTTTCCTAACTGCCTCGAGGTGTTCCTCTCCTATTGATAAGATGAACCTCGATGCATGCTCTCGATGGCCCTGAACATTGGGAGGTCTCTCTAACGTAAATTCCCTCCTCGAGACATAGCATCTCGAGGCTAGATCACCGGACGCCGGCAATGTACCACCGACCGAGCGGGAAGCAGAGGCAGAACTCTCCTCTTCTTAGTGAACGGATTTGGGCATAGCAGCCATAACTATGGTGAAACAAGAAAAGGGAAATGGAAACTTAGGCGAATGCTTTAAGTTAAAATGGTGAAAGAACTGACGCAAGGAAGGAGAGCTCTATAAAAAGGATAGTTGCTCAAAGTAGCGGAATCCTCAAATAATAAGAAAGAAAATACATATATAGAGCAAGCGGCAACTGTTCGCCTATTCTAAAGGCCAATTAATTCTGACCATGCCATTACCACTTTTGGGGAAGTGTAACAGTGGGACCACCTCGGTCACTTCGCGATCATGTCATATGAATGACACTATCATACAGCTCTCGAGAGCTAACGAGATCCCCACATCACTCTAGTCTCGAGATAGTGCCCAATCTCGAGGATCTCTGCTATTACAAGTATGGACTCCAAAAGATCTATCAACCTAGCCTCGAGATGGTGCCCGATCTCGAGGGTCTCGGTTACTCCAAGTATGGGCTCCAAAGAGCCGACATCAAAATTCAAAAATTAACTTTGCATAAGTAGTGAAAAATAAAGTTTGAAGACTTGAAGCAAAGGAATCTTTTTGCATTCCCAAAAATACATTTACAAAGGGTGTCTTTACAAAGACCCCCCCCCCCCCCCCTCCCGAGGAATCCATATACAAAAAGAAAGAAACGGAGAAGCAGAGATGACGACCCGAGTCTATTCTTCACCCTCACTACTGTCTAAATCACTTCCGGAACCCTCGTCCAAAGTAGTTGAAGGTGCTGATTCTTCCTCCAAGGCTCTGGCTTTCTCAATCTCAGCAAAGAGATCGACACCTTTGGCGCTTGCTTCCTCGAAGGTCTGCCTCCTAGCTTGCAAATGAGCATAAGCAACGGCCCGAGCCAGCTTCCGCTCGGCCTTCTTGGATATCTCTCTGGCTCGATCGTTTGCGGTAGCGGCATCTCTCTTGTATGAGGACGTATGTTTGTCAGCCTCAGACTTGGCCATAGATAATGTAGCTCACTATAATAACCAATAAATTGAAATCACTTGGAAAGGTGTTTATCTCAGAAGAGTTGGTTAGCAAAGTTCTAATAATCCTTCTAGCTTCATGGGGAATCAAAAGTCACTGCAATCCAGGAAGCCAAGGAATTGGACAAAATCTCACCTGATGAGTTGGTTGGAAAATTAAAAATTCATGAAATGAGAAAGATAGAACTGCAAGAAAGAACCAAAGAAGGATAAGGCCTTAGTTCTTAAAGCATCTGAGGATGATGAATCTGACTATGATGATCCTGATCTAGCAATATTTGCCAAGTTCAAGAGGTTCATGAAGAATTCCAAAAGTGCATCCAAGAGAGAGACCAGTAGTAAGCCCAAGCAGATCGACAAAGCAAACTATGATGGGTGCTACAAGTGTGGCAAGCTAAATCACATAGTCAAGGACTGCCCAATGTGGGAAATTAAGCGGAGAAAATAACAAGCTGAAAAAGAGAAACGGGAGAAGATGAGAGAACAGGGTTGCAACAAAGAAAAAATCTTAGGCAAAGGATTTACTGAAGCAATGAAGCAGGCATTCTTGGCAGCATATAAGGATAGTGGAAGTGATTAAGAGGAAAAAAAGGAGGATGAGGCTATAAGTCTCTATGTTGTAATTGATGAACACCACGTTGTGAAGATAGAACCCCCAGTACATCTTGGAATGCACATTGGAAGACCTCATTTGTTTGATGAACACCATTATGATGAATGGAAGCTACGTATGGAAACATTTCTTCAGACTACTGACTTTGACCTATGGATAATTTACAATCATGGACCAGGTCTCCCAACCAAATTAGATAGTGAAGGTAACAAGTGCAACACAAGAGAAGAGGAATACGATGAGGAAGATCATCAGCTAGTCCAGAAAAATGCTAAAGCAAAGGACTTGCTCTACAGAAGCCTGTCTAGAAACACTCTCCTCATAGTGTCCTCTTGCATCTCTGCTCATGATATATGGAAGACCTTGGAAACTGACTTTGGAAATAAAAACATCGAAGTGGATTTGATGGCGATTGAAGAATCTAAAACAGAGGAAGAAGTGATAGGAATGATGGCCATGAGTGATTCAGAAACTAAAGATGAAACAAACCAGGTAAGTATATCCGACTTGACAGAAAATATTAATGATATGTCCAAAAAACAACTAATGGCCATAATTGTGACCTTAATGAATGAAATGGATAAAATGAGTACTGGAAATGATCAGCTAATAAGCAACATTTCTTGTGTCAAGCTTGATATCAAAGTTAGTTTAGAAAAACAGGTCAAAGACCTTAAGAACCAGGTTTTTTAGCTTACTTCTGAGAATGAGAAGTCTCCTAATATATATGGCAAAGGAAAAATGAGTGATCTGCAGGATAAGATTGAAAAGGAATTAAATATTGCTAATGATAATCTTTGTGATGCGTAATGTAGAAATAAAGTCTTGCATGAAAACATAGAAAAGGCTAATTTTGAACTCTCTAGACTAAGCAAATGGCATAGATCTTCTGATGCCTTGAATAGGCTAAATGAAAACTATAGCTCTAACAAATCTGGAATTGGTTATAGAAAACTGTCCCTAAGTTTGACCTAAAATATGTAGGAATTTCTCATAACAACATGTTCACTCATTGTGGAAGAGTAGGACACTTTAGAGACACTTGTCCTGCCTTAATTGATGCTCAGTTTAGAAACACCTTTGGTATTGCTAAAAATATGAAAAAGGAAAAGGAGCCAACCTCCTGTCCATACTAAGTGGGTTAAGGTTAACAATAAAATAGCTTCTAATCCTCTCCCTTTCTGAGCAAGTAGGGATCTGATTCATCTTTTTCCAATAAAAAGAGACCCAAGCTTGTCTGAGTTCCCAACACTAACTTGTGAATTTTGGTGCAGGCTAATGTGAGAAGAAACAATCAGGGCTGGTATCTAGGCAGTGGATGCTCAAGACATATAACTAGAGAAAAGAAAAACTTCCTCTCACTGACAGCCTTCCAAGGAAGGAGTGTGTCATTTGGAAATGGGAAAAGGGGCTAGATAATAGGTATTTGCAATATTGGCAAGTCACTCTCTCATGCTATAGAAGAAGTGTATTATGTGGTAAGTCTTAAACACAATCTTCTTAGCATTCAAATGTGCAACAAAGGAAATGAGGTAAAATTCAATTCTAAAATTTGCACTGTCACTAAGCTTGATACTGATGAAATTAAGTTAAAGGGTAAGAGACATAACAATGTCTACAAGATATTGATTATGTCACTTCCCAGAGGGAGCACACATGCTTAAGTGTAGTGGAAGATGATCCACAGTTATGGCATAGAAGACTAGGACATACATGTCTCTCTCAACTCAACAAGTTGGCAGCAAAGGACGTGATCCTTGGGCTACCTAAAGTTGAGTTCACCTCTGACAAGGTATGTGATGCATGTGTTAGAGGGAAACATGTTAGGTCATCCTTTAAATCTAAAAAAATTGTAATTAGTTCTAAACCTCTGGAACACTTTCACATGGACCTATGTGGACCAATGAGAATAAGGAGCAGGGGAGGTAAGAGGTATGTGTTTGTGATTGTTGATGACTTCTCCATGTATCCTGGACTTTGTTTTTGGGATCCAAAGATGAAACCTTTGATGTTTTCTATGTATTTGTTAGAATGATTCAACAAAAGCTAGGATATAATGTTATAAGTATAAGAACTGACCATGGAACTGAATTTGAAAATTCAAAGTTCCTTGAGTTCTGTGGCTCACATGGAATTGACCATCATTTCTCTACACCTAGAACTCCACAACAAAATAGGATTGTAGAAAGAAAGAATAGATCCTTAGAAGACATGGGGAGGACCATGTTGATTGCCAGTGGACTGCCTAAGAATTTCTGGGCTGAGGCAATGAATATTGCTTACTACCTACTAAATAGATGCATGGTCAAACCCATATTCTTCAGAAAACTCCCAATGAGTTACTTTGAGGAAGAAAACCCAACATCACTCACCTAAGAGCCTTTGAGTACAAATATTTTGTGCATAATAATGGGAAAGAAGCTCTAGGTAAGCTTGATGACAGAAGTGATGAGGGAATTTTCTTAGGTTACTCTCCACATAGTAAGGCCTATAAGGTTTTTAAAAAGAACTATGTGTATGGAATAAAGTATTCATGCTATTTTTTATGAATCTAACAATTTGGCTGAGAAAGGTCTGCAGGATGAAGATTATGACATAGGATTCACTAGTGATGGAGATACAAAGGAATCTGATTAAGATGGATCTGAAAACCATAAGGAAATTGATAGTGATCATGAGGAACAAGAAGAAGAAATAACTACTTTTATTGCTGACCACACTAATGAATCCACACCTAGTGAACATGCTCCTTTGGGTAGCTCCTCGGGTAAATCTTCTCTTGGTATACAGATCAGACCATGGAAGCATCAAAGCTCACATCCTCTTGAGAGTATGATCTCTTATCCAAATGTAGGGGTGCAAACCAGGTCTTCTTTAAGAAATCTATGTGCACTCACAGCGTCCTCTCACAGGTTGAACCTAAGACCATCAAAGAAGCTCTAAAGGATATAGACTGGATCATAGCCATGCAAGAGGAGCTAAATCAGTTTGAGAGAAGCAAGGTCTAGCACCTGGTAAGGAAACCCAAGAACAGAACTGTCATAGGTACCAAATGGGTGTTCAGAAACAAGTTGGATGAACAAGGAAATATCACAAGGAAAAAAGCCAGACTGGTGGTTCAGGGATACAATCAAGAGGAGGGCATTGACTATGATGAGACATTTGCACCTGTAGCTAGAATGGAGGCTATAAGAATGTTGATATCCTTTGCTGCCCACATGAAGTTCACTTTATACCAGATGGATGTAAAGAGTGCCTTTTTGAATGGTTACCTGAAGGAGGAAGTGTTTGTCAAACAACCTCCTGGATTTGAAAGTGAAGAATTTCTTGACTATATGTTCAAACTCGATAAAGCTCTTTATGGATTGAAATAGGCTCCAAGAGCTTGGTATGAAAGGCTCTCAAAATTTCTCTTAGCCAACAACTTTGTAAGAGGAAAGGTGGACAACACTCTATTTCTAAGGAATAGAGAGAAGAATATTCTGATTGTTCAAGTGTATGTGGATGACATTATCTTTGCGGCTACCAATGAAGGGATGTGCAAGGAATTTGCTGAGATGATGGAAAATGAGTTTGAAATGAGCATGATGGGTGAATTGAACTTCTTTCTGGGGCTGCAAATCAAGCAAACACCTATTGGAACCATGATACATCAGCAGAAATATATCAAAGAACTACTGAAGAAGTTCAACATAGATTCCTCTAAGTCCATTGACACACCCATTGCAACTGCAACAAAGCTGGACCTTGATGAATAAGGAAAAAATGTGGAACATAAACTATATAGAGGAATGATTGGGTCACTGTTGTACCTCACAACAAGCAGGCCTGATATAGTGTTTAGTGTGCGATTATGTGCAAGATTTCAGGCAAATCCCAAGGAATCTCACCTGAAGGCTGTCAAAAGTACTAAGATATCTCAAAGGGACCCTTGACCTCTGCCTATTGTATCCCAGATGGTATAGCTTTGAATTAGTTGGTTATGATAATGCTGACTATGCAGGTTTTCATGTATAGGAAAAGCACTTCAGGAACAACTCATTTTCTAGGTTCTTGTCTGGTGTCTTGGGGAACTAAGAAGCAAAACTCAGTGGCCTTATCAACAGTTGAGGCTGAATATGTGGCAGCAGCATCCTGCTGTGCTCAGTTGCTATGGATGACACAACAGCTAAGGGAGTATGGTACATTTGTTGATTGTGTTCCCATTTTTTGTGATGACACCAGTGCCATAAACATTGCTAAAAATCCATGTCAGCACAAGAGAACCAAGCACATTGACATTAGACATCACTTTTTTAGAGACAATATTGAAAAGTGGAATATCTCAATTAACTTTTGTAAAACTGAAGATAAATTGCTGATA